GTCCGTCTGTCCGTCCATCTGTCCGTCCGTCCGTCCGTCCGTCTGTCCATCTGTCTGTCTATCTGTCCGTCTGTCCATCTGTCTGTCCATCTGTCCGTCCGTCTGTCCGTCTGTCCATCTGTCCGTCTGTCCATCTGTCTGTCCGTCTGTCTGTCCGTCCGTCTGTCCATCTGTCCATCTGTCTGTCTGTCCGTCTGGCTGTCCGTCCATCTGTCCATCTGTCCGTCTGTCCGTCCGTCTGTCTGTCTGTCTGTCTATCCGTCTGTCTGTCCATCTGTCCGTCTGTCTGTCCGTCTGTCTGTTGTTCCCTCCGTCCGTCTGTCCATCTGTCTGTCCATCTGTCTGTCTGCCCGTCCGTCCGTCGCCCCCGCGCTGAGCCGGCCCGTCCCGTCCCGCAGCTGGTGGCGCGCGAGGACTTCGCGGAGGCCGTGCGGGAGGAGGCGGCGGCCGTGGCGGCCCGGCAGGAGACCGACTCCATCCCGCTGGTGGACGACATCCGCTTCCACGTGGCCGGCACCGTGCAGACCCGCAGCGCCGTGGAGGAGGCCCGGCGGCGGCTGCGGGCGCTCGAGGACCTGCTGGCCTCCCTGGGCCTCGACTGCTGAGGCCTGCGGCCGCCGGGTGCGCCCCAGGGCCGGGGCTGCCTCGGGGACAAGCGTGTGTGCGCGTATGTGTGTGCCTGTGTGCGTGTGTGCGTGTGCATGTATGTGCGCGTGCATGTGCGTGTGTGCCTGTGTGCGTGTGTGTTCATGTGCGCGTGTGTGCGTGTGTGCATGTGTACGTGGTGTGTGCTCGTGTGTGCGTGTGTGCATGTGTGCGTGTGGGTGTGTGTGCGTGTGCGTGCGTGTGTGCGTGTGTGTGCGCGCAGCCGTCCCGCTCTTTGCGCACTGGAGGGCGTCACGGTGGGCGGGGGCTCACTGGGGACCCCGGGGGGAGGGTCTCTTTGAGCCGGGGCCCCCCCCTCCCAGCGCACACGCCGGTCCCCAAGACACCGGGGCTGGGCGCCACTCAGGGAAACCCCCGTGCAGTCCCCTCCCCGCCCCGCCCCTGTCCCCGGCCGTGCACCGGCGCTGGCTTCTCCGGGCCACCATGTGTGGCAATAAAGCTTGGACTTGCTGTGGGAGCCCGAGTCTGGGTCCCGGGGCGCAGCCTGGGACCGGGGGGTTCTGGGAACAGGCGTTGGCCAGAGGGGCAAGGGCGGGAGCCAGTCTGGGGTTGGGGACGAGCCTTTCACCTGGGCCTGGCCCTAGCCCGGCTCCCTCCCTCCCTGCCAGCCGCCACCAGGCTTCTCCGCCCGGGGGGCGCGGGAAGCCTCAGGGGCCAAGGTCGGGGGGGTGTCCACGTGGCTGAAGGGCATCCCCAGAAAACTGCCCCCCACGCGCCCTAATAGGGTCGCAGCCCCTGCCTGTCCTCAGCTTGGTGACCCGGCTCTGGGGGAGGAAGGAAAGGAAGGTCTTTTTTTTTTTTTGAGACAGAGTCTGGCTCTGTCGCCCGGGCTAGAGTGCCGTGGCGTCAGCCTCGCTCACGGCGACCTCCAACTCCTGGGCTCAAGCCATCCTCCTGCCTCAGCCTCCCGAGTAGCTGGGACTCCAGGCATGCGCCACCATGCCCGGCTCATTTTTCTCATTTTCTGTAGAGGTGGGGTCTTGCTATGTTGCCCAGGCTGGTCTGGAACTCCTGACCTTGAGCGATCCTCCCGCTTCGGCCTCCCAGAGTGCTGGGGTGACAGGCGTGAGCCACCGCGCCCGGCCTGCTTCATCATAATCAGGCCACCATTGTAGCGAGGGGTCAGGTGGCTTCTGTGTCCGCCAGGAAAAGGCTGAGGTCACCTGGCAGAGGGAGGGCCAACAGCAGGATTCAACTCAAATGCCAGAGTTGGAAACGCAGCGTCTACACTCGGCTGCAAGATGGGGTTGATTTCAACGTAGAAATGGCCTCTCCGATTTTATTCGATCTTTATTCTTAGCTCTCTCTGGACCCGGGACTCCCCTGGAGGCGATTTCTAATTTCTGCTTTATGCCTCGAAAGGCGCGTGGCCGCCCCTTTTCTTCCCCTCTTGCTGGCTGGAATGAGGATGCAATGGCCGGAGCTGCAGCAGCTGTGCTGGGCCGTGGCCGAAGGCATGTGTGTGGTCAAGACGGGCTAAAGGGAGTTTGGGAAAGCAGAAGGGGGGTGGTGACGTGAGGCCGCGGACGCTCCCTCCCTCCTCACCTCCATTTTGGTTGCGGCCGTGTCCTCTACTTAAAGCCATAGCCCGGATAGGTGTCCCCTCTCCCACAGCTATCGCTCTTTCTTGGTGTCGGCTCTTCATGGTGGCCGTTGCTGTTTGGCTCTAGGGTGGGAGCTCGTGTCGCCCCGTGTCCTCGTTCTGTGAGGGTGACCCGCCTCATCGTGCCCTGTCGCCATCCCCCTGGGGCCGGACACGGTGCCCAGTAAGGAGCTTCCGATAAGTCCACGCGCGGTGGCGGTGGCGCGGACCCTCGCTCTGAGCTCCATGCAGCGACGCTCAGGGCGGGACCTGCTCGCAAGCAGGCCGAGCACGAGGCCCTGGGGACGACGGCCGTCCCTCGGGTCCCCGCCCCTTCCGAGGGACCTCTGCACAGCGGCTGTGGCCGTGATCGGCCGGGCGCAGGCTTGCGGGGCCCTTGCTTGGACGCGACTGAGAACATCCCAGCGAAGCAGACACGCGGCCCGTCCGGCAACTGCGCGGTGGCCGGGCCACCAAGCTGACGCCGCGTCCGTCCCGGCGCCAAGCTCAGCGGCCGGCTCGGAGAAGGCGTCGCTTCTCCCTCCCCGCCCCATCGGACAGCTGTTTCTGGGCACCCTCCGGGAAGCCGGGGGTCCAGTCCAGGCCGGGCCAGGCCCCGCCGCAGCTCGTGTTCCCGCGGGGGGGATGGCAGAGCACCACCAGGTGGACACGCGGAACACGCGTCACGCCGGATGGCGCCGGAGGAAAAGGCGCCGGGCGGGGGGGGGGGGGGAGCAGGTGACGAGGCTGTCGCGGCCGGGGGGACGCAGGTGAGGCCACGGGGCCCGGGGAAGGACTCTGCCTTGATTTAAACGAGACGGGGGCACGGGACAAAGTGGGGACCCACCGGGGAGGCTGCCGTCACTGTCCCTCGGGGGGTCGTGGTGACAGCCGGGGCGCTAGAGGGAAGCGGTGTCCTTGTGGGGATCCTTTGGAGGGACAGGTGGGGCAGGGACGGGGCAGTTGAGGGCCAGCCGCTGGGGACGGGGCCACGCTTGCGTCCGGATGTCCCCGTGTGGGAAGCTGGGGCCGGGGGGGGGGCGCGGTGGCAGCTGTAGGTGGACACGCTTGTGAGCCACTGTGACCCCGGGAGCGGCCCCCAAGCGTGGAGGAGAGAAAATAAAACCCACGCGTCGGTCCGGACCCTGCGTGCAAATGGCCCGTCGTTCCCCGCCAGGGACGCGGTCGTCTAGGGTCAGGGACCCCGCTGCAAGGGACAGACAGACGGACGCCGTTCAGAAAACATGGTTTATTAGGGTCAGCTGCAGCGTGCACGGGTGCCTCTAGCAGTTCTAAGCTGACACGCGCGTCCCCCGCCAGCGGCCCGCACGGAGGGACAGCACCGAGCCGCGGTGACAATCACAGCCCAGTGTGCGACTTACAGAATCGTCGCGGTCTTAGTAGGGTTCGTGTGAGCGAGACGGGGCCCGGGAAGGGGGTCTGTGCAGGGCTGTGGTCCCCAACCCCGGTGGACCGAGTCCCCTCTCGACCCTCACGGCTCCGCCCGGCGCTCCGAGCGTCGCAGAGGGGAGGGGACTTGGCTTTGCATCCCACGCAGCTGCTGACCCAGCAGGCGGACGAGCCCCGGCGATGTCCCCCTGTCCCCTCTCCCAGTCCCCC